TGATTTGTGGTATAAATTATTCTTCTCAACTAGATCGGTAAGTGATTTTGCAAAAAAGGGCTGTGCGTCTTATAAAAAATGTGTACCCTTCACAAAAGCTCAGAGCCAATCTTTAAACGGTGCAACATTTTGAAGCTATCGGATATCGCTAAATCCCAAATCTTAACTGTCATGCACAAAGTTGTAACTTCACAGCTCCCTGCATCATTCGATTTAATACACAAGCTCTACTAATCAAATGACATGGATATGAGGCGAGTAAAACATTTAGAGCAACCTTTCTCTAATCGTAATCATAGACTACTTACAGCATCTTGCCTTGGCCCTAAGCTGTGGAACGACATTATGGTCTCATATTTTCCAAGAATATCTGATGTCTCTGTATCAAAAATCATCGCTCAGAGCATCATCCGCATGCACTTCGTGAATACATATTAACGTAACCAACATATCTGAAGATATTGCAATCCTTTGCACTGCACATATCCAACGCACTTCATATCTGACCTCCCTCATGTTCCATAATCAAGTTCCGATATAGTTAAAGTCATGGATATGTACCCAAATTCACGGCGCTGGCTCCGGGAGTTCTCCCAGCAACAAGCTCCGCTTAGCTGGGTGGACTCCCTGAACATCCAGCTCTTAACCCAGCACGAAAATGACCAGATAATTGCCCCCTCCAACTTGTGCGAATGTACAACCCTTACAACACGATGAATTGAGTGGTTGTAGCTTACTGGGCGGTTATAGCGGGCTGTCATTAGCTGACTTTGGCTAATGGCTACTTTAAGCCCTCTCATCTATGATTTTTCCTTGCCTATTACATAACACAATTCCTTCGGGTCTGCACCACCTCTTCGCACGCCTAGTTACGTTTGTTTCGTCTTCCTAGCTGGGAGTGCCGCGACTTGATTTATGTTTTCTGGTGTTAACGCACGGTTTTATGCGTCGCTGGGATTGAGGGAGGGGCGCTCCTGGTTACCTGTTCTTGCGTAACGGCACAGAAAAAAACATGAGTTGGCATTGTTCATTTTGCCTCTGAACATTTTGTACAGAGAGCGGAACGCGTTCAGAAGATTTTGCATGCTGGTGGTGGGCAGTTACGACACACAAATATACCTTAAAGGTGAGAATTGCTGAAAGTGGTTAGCGCCCTGTGTAACGACTATGAGGCCGCTAGCCCAATGCCTACGTCAATGCAATGCTACAAAACAACATTGAGTTAGTGCAAGATCACACGCACGTTGTGTGTGTGATCTTGTGCCCCCAGCGGACATGTGCCATTCACATTCAATTTGTGGCATGTGTCAATACGTACGTTATTTTAAACTCAATGCAAGTTGGGAAACTTGTGCCCTAAATGCTGTCTCTCCTCTTGCGAAATCCTGCTTGCGCCCCTGGGCTCATATACTGCAGAGACTTTGGAGTTAATCAGGGCATATCAGGGAAAATCTGGTAAGTTGCGTGCACACGAAGACTTCTGCCAATGAAAGACTTAACAGCCAGTGACCGGTAGACCAGTGGAAACTTACGGCTGTATGTAAAGCCATCTCAAGTGCAGGTTGAAGAGTATGCGGAGCAAGAGCCAAACGGTAAGAAAAGTACCAGAGCATCCAAGGATGTTCGAAAGCGATGAAGGTCAGATCATTGTGCTTTCTGTTGGAGCTTCGTAAGTTATGTTGGTGTTTGGAGGCCCAAACTAAGCACAAAAAATGTTATTGAGTCGTTCTTCTTCTGAGAGCTTTCAGAAATCTCCTGAGCTTTTTCACGTACTCACTTCAGCTCTATTTTGTCTACATGCATCTCGAGGCCTTGTATCCTCAGGGGTTCTTAGAGCGTCACTCCTACTATCCTGGGACCTCAGAATGAGACCCGATGATGGGCCCGCAAGCGGACTCAATTTCTAACACAAGTCTCTGCCCCTTGGTACCCAGTTACAATATTGCTATTAACAAATTAATATTTCTTCGGACGATCGTCCTCGCCTGGCGTGCGAGCCCGCAGTCCATATACAATGTTCTGGACAGTTAGTTATCCGACCTTCATCAGTTCGGAGTCGGAGTTAGTAAGTCCTGAGAAGGACAGCATGGTGTTTAGCTTCCAGCCGTGCACGCCGTTTCTTAAGCTTCCTGACGTCCATTTACCTAGTTTTGGGGTCCACCTCTTGCCATCGCAATTTTTGTTGGACTGATTGTTGCATTCATTAAAACATAGCGTGAAATATACATATAATGTGAAATATATACGTAATATGATAAACACAGCCAAATTTTAGCAGTTTACAGAGCAACTCCAATCAGCCTGAGAGGAGCCCATTGTCCGCATATGGGCTGCCCCCCACTCCCTGGAACGCCCTTCTTTGGTTATGTGTGTGCATTCGTTTGTTGACCGCGAACTACTCAGACCCGGGTCGCTCGCTCGCTCTCTCGCTCTCTCGCTCTCTCGCTCTCTCGCTCTCTCGCTCTCTCGCTCTCTCGCTCTCTCGCTCTCTCGCTCCCTCGCTCTCTCGCTCTCTCGCTCTCTCGCTCTCTCGCTCTCTCTCTCTCTCTCTCTCTCTCTCTCTCTCTCTCTCTCTCTCTCTCTCTCTCTCTCTCTCTCTCTCTCTCTCTCTCTCTCTCTCCAGTTGGCAAGCGTGCTCTTCCCTGTCTCGTCAGGTCTAACCTTGAACTTCACCTTGCCATTCACTTTGAAGTGCTCCTGCACGTGGGTGGGGCGAGACTCTACACTCGTTTTCGTGGTTTCTCATCCACTAAGCAACCAGATTGGCTTCATCATGCTAGGTGTGTTCGTCCGCTGGGTCTGCTTGCTTTTTTTAGCGTCCCTTCACTTGAGATTGAGGCGCACCGAGTGTCTCTCTAGCATAGCTCACGTCCTCTCTATCCAGGCTTAGTACACAGTAAGCTTTGCCTTAAATTTAGAAATGCCGTTCTACGTGGACTTAGCATGCCTATCTTCTGTATTTCAGGCGTCCCTGCGTTCAGGCTTAGCGTCGTCTAATCGCCTCGGTTGAGTGGCTCTGCTCTGCCCGGGCTGAGTGACAATCTTCACTTAACTTCCCGCGACAGGGCCACCGGAACGGTCGATGCCAAAATTTTCGGATGCCCGGGGACCTAAGACTCTTATTAAGTTGCGCCTCTGAAAATAGCGTCCGGAAAACGTGAGCAGCCCCAGCCACAGTGTTTCTTCCGCGACACGGCCTGCTCGGCTCGCGCTGCCACGAGGCCGTCTGCCGATGCCTCCAACTGCCCACGGCCAGGGCCATCTCACCGCTCGGCCATGGCCAAATTCCTCAGTAACAGGGACAGCTTGCCTTAATTGGTATCTGGATGTCGACTGGCTTGACCAGTCTTGACGTTAGAAGTTCAGTTTTATACGAGACATGAGTGCGATGGGTAAACTGTCCGAATCAAGACATACGAGCCGCGTAGCACCTTTATGGTGAGATTTCCGCAGAATAAGTGCTTGTTAAGGATGCTTAAGGTCTCATCTTATTGATATCTTATCAAGATGGCTCACTTTGATGACCATTTATCAGTAAACAAAACTTGAATAAGTGTAGATAAAGCACGCTCGTACAGGTTTGGCTTTAAGTCTTGTTAGTCAGCCAGGGAAATAGTCATAGCTCGTGTGCGAGGACATTCAAGCCCTAATACATCTTTAAGATATGACGCCACTCATTTAACAAGGCGGATTTACTTCTTTAACTTTGGTAGCTACACAACCATGCATCGATTGTGGCAGATTTGGACTGTGTTACCTTTGCAGCAAGGCGAGCATTACTGCACTATTGATTTATTCCTCAAGTTCACCCCGGAGTCTGCGTGGATCGACGCTTCCTCGTCCTGGTGCATCATCGTGACTGCAATCGATCTCACGCTGGAAATACAACCACGGCTAAAACAACGGAAGCAAGAACGTGAAGCGCTTGAAGGCTCAATCAAGTAAATTCGGATCAATACCTCAGTGTTCTACGATGCTCTGTTTCGAGACACCAGTCACGATGAACTACATTTTAACAAGCGTTCTTGAAGTCTGCATATCCCATGATAAGCCCACAACAGATCTCTGTCGTTTGGCCGCTAATAACTCGAGAACAGTTGAGGTAAACTACCAAACCGCATCTTGTTAGAGTCAGCATGATGAGAGGAAGGCGTATGTGATGCTTTGGTCATATGCTGAATAGTATTTATCGTATCTCTCACCGTCCTCATCGGAGCCATTGAACACACACCCTGCAAACTGGATGTTTATGACTGTTTCAATCCCTCCTAGATGTCCATAGTTCCGAGACTGAGGTTCTGAGATTATGGTTTTCTGATCTGAAACCAAACAATGTTGAGATGCCTGGCGGTGCGCGTGTGAAATACCGATATCTTTTTTTCGAACCGGAGTGTCTTCTGAGAAGCTTTAGCGGGCTAATTATGCAACGCTTGAACGGACTGAAACACGAACAGTCTTACCCGTTCATCGTGTTCTCATACATCATTATCCGAGCCAGGATCCCGCGATCCGAACAGGGCAGTTTTCCCGGCGCTAATCGCGTCTACGCTTGGACCACCCCGATCGATCCGAAACCATCCTGGGGACGGCTCTGGTGGGGGGGATATACCATAACAAATTGTACAAAGCATCATTTTGTTCCTCCAAATTTGTCCATGGAGAGCACGTTTTTCGCTTTTTTCCATTGAAATGTCATGAACAGGTCAGGTTTTCCCCTGTCAAAAGCGCCAGCTTGACCTCCTCCCCCCCACCCCGAACTGTTCCCCGTCCTTAATCCAGAGACGCAAATACATCCATACCGGTGGCGGCCGGCTGGTGGTCGTCGCACCGCGGTGCGTCGCGAACTGACGCGTGACGCGGCGGGAGTGCGCACGGGGCGGGGTCCTCACCGTGACCGGAGGCGTGTGTCCAACTCGCCCGCCGGCCGGCCAGCCGGCTCCCCCGCAAGGACGGCCCGCCGCCGGCCGGTATATAAACGCCGACGTCCATCCCAACGATGTCCAGTCGGAGATTTCTGTCAGATCACAACATGAAGGGCCTCGTAAGTGTTCCAACAGTCTCCCGCGCCGATGAAATGTGACACCATTCATTTCCTGCTGTTAAAACGAAACGCTATTTTCATGCTACCTCCTGAAATGACCTATTACTTATATTTTCTGAGTAAATACGACCGCGAGAGGATGCTTCAAGCGGTGGGGTGAAATTTGCTATATCTTAACATGTGAAAATGGTTGCCCGATTCCAGGTGGTGATTGCTGCACTAGCTGTGGTGGGCTCAGCTGCCCCCGGCAACTATGCCAACCTCAGGAGTGCTGCTTTCCCCGCTGGCCTGGGTGCCATCGCTGCCCCCGTCGAGCTCAAGACCATCAAGGTGGATGAGGTCAAGTCCACTCCTGTGACCGCGAACCACGCTGCTGTGACCTACTCAGCTGGCGCCATCGCCGCTCCTCTTGGCTATGCTGCCCACGGCTATGCTGCCCACGGCTTCGCTGCCCCCGCAGCTGTGGCTGTGAAGGCTGCTGCCCCCTTAAAGCTCAAGACCATCAAGGTGGATGAGGTTGAGGCTGCTCCTCTAACCTCGAACCACGCTGCTGTGACCTACTCGACTGGCGCCATCGCCGCTCCTCTTGGCTATGCTGCCCACGGCTATGCTGCCCACGGCTTCGCTGCCCCCGCCGCTGTGGCTGTGAAGGCTGCCGCCCCCGCGCACTTCAAGACCATCAAGGTGGATGAGGTCAAGGCCGCCCCCGTGGCCGCAAGCCATGCTGCTCTGACCTACTCCGCTGGTGCCATCGCCGCTCCCGTGGGCTACGCTGCCCACGGCTATGCTGCCCACGGCTACGCTGCCCCCGCTGCTGTGGCTGTGAAGGCTGCTGCCCCTGTGGAGCTCAAGACTATTAAGGTGGAAGAGGTCAAGGCTGCTGCTGCTCCGGTGGCATATGCCAGCCATGCCGCTGTGGCTGTGAAGGCTGCCCCGGCTGTGGCTGTCGCTGCCCCCGCCGTCACCTACGCCGCCGCCGCCCCCGCCATCGTCCGTCAGGAGGTCGAGATCCCCGTCACCAAGACGGTCCACTACGCTGACGAGCAGGTCGTCACTGGATATACCACGAGCATCCACAAGCCGGCCATTGCTGCCCCCGTCATCGCTGCCCCCAGGACCCTGGTTGGCAAGACCGTCACCAACCCGGCCACCGTTAGCGTGCAAAAGTACGCCGCTGAGGTCAAGACCATCAACCACGTGCCCCAGCCGTACGATGTGCCTTACGATGTGCCTGAGCCGTACGCCGTGCCCACCCCCGTGCACACGGCCCCCGTGGAGGTGAGGAAGCGCGTTTACGCCCCGGCCGCCTACGCCGCCCCTGTGGTCCAGGCTGCCCCGGCCGCCGTTGCTGTCAAGGCTGCTCCCGCCGTTGCCGTTAAGGCTGCCCCTGTGGCCTACGCTGCCCACGGCTACGCTGCCCCGGCCGCTGTTGCCGTCAAGGCTGCCCCCGCCGCCGTAGCCGTTAAGGCTGCCCCCGTGGCCTACGCTGCCCATGGCTTCGCTGCCCCGGCTGCTGTTGCCGTCAAGGCTGCCCCCGCCACCGTTGCCGTCAAGACCGCCCCCGTGGCCTACGCTGCCCACGGCTTCGCTGCCCCGGCCGCTGTTGCCGTCAAGGCTGCTCACGCCGCCGTAGCCGTTAAGGCTGCCCCCGTGGCCTACGCTGCCCACGGCTTCGCTGCCCCGGCCGCTGTTGCCGTCAAGGCTGCCCCCGCCAGTGTTGCCGTTAAGGCCGCCCCTGTGGCCTACGCTGCTCACGGCTACGCTGCCCCTGCTGCCATTGCCCTCAAGGCTGCCCCCGCTGCTGCGGAGATCAAGTCCGACAAACCGGCCGTCCACGCCTGGTAAATTGATGGACAAGTGCGTCACGCGGTTGGTGTTGCAGCCCAGCGCGAGGGTTGGTTGGTTTGACGCGCGTCGGCTCGTACGGCGAGGACTGTAGGTGTAAGAGTGGTGTCAGTGTGTGGTGCCCTACCATGTTGTGATCATCTTCCTCAATATACTTCCATCTCCATCATCGTGGCGTTTTGTGGCAGTGATTTGCGCAGGGGTAATGTAGATTTCTGTTACGAAGCTCAGCATTAGCATGCTGTTCTTGCCGTCTAACTCTGCCCATTTTGCGTGGGTGCCGATGGTGCGGTACTTAAGGTGCGGATGTGGGAAACTGGAGATACAGTTTTCGTCAAACCGCTGTACCGCTCTTTTCCGCTAAGGTGAGAGGCGGGCGAAGCTAAGAACCCATGACTGTCGTCATTGGTTCACACGCAAGCAGGGAATTTCAATGCTGTTTTGGTGTCGACTGCTCATAAAAGGTCTCAGCAGTATGAACTTGAGGAATTTCGCGCTCAAAATAATGCGTATTTCCAAGTGTTTCTGTATGCACGACCGACGGGAATTTTGTTTTCTGTGTACAGTGAGTCTCGCTCCGAACAATCAATCAGACATTTCAGAAAAATCCACAGCGTGGTTTTCAGTATTCCACATCACTGACTGTAAAAATACACCGCACACGCAAGTGCAACACACCCTAAAAATATAAGCCAACCTGGTCCTTAAAACGACTACGTCCGTGGGCGGCGCTACCAACGCTCTCGATGCGCGACTCAAAATGAGCGCCGACCGTGTCCCCTGCCCAATTTGAGACACAGTTCAGGAAATGATTGGCTCCAACTGCATCACGTACCTCATATCAGGGCAGTCCAACTCCTATAAATGCAAACGACAAATAACCACTGTTGTCGGACCTTTTGGAGCAAGCTTCAAAAACACGCGATGGTGAAACCCCAGAACCAATTGTCTTATCGTACCGCAGTAGGGCCACTGCAGCACCATCAAGAAAAAATAAGGGTAAACTTGTTGCTTGTTTTCGAGTCCAAAATACTCTGTCTATCCTTTCTAACAGCACTGTTCTTCATTTATTGGCAGCTCTAGAGGGTACCCAGAGTCCGCAATAGCTGTAGTTGTCGCAACTGACGTCGTCATGACAACCGTCGTCCCCGCGACGGTGGCAGAATCGCCTGAAGGTCCTTGCCAGCTGTTTGGTTTGGAAGTGCCACTTTTGAGTTATTTTAACCCGCACATTGCGGGTCGGCGGGTTAGAAGTGGCACCTTTACTGGTGTGAATGACGTCAGTACAAACTAACGGTCGTGATTGGCGCGGCGGGTCAGTTACCGAGAAGCACATTGGTTGAATTTTGCACCAGTCCATCACTATAAGCCATACACTATCCCGTTTCCCAAAGCTAAAGTATGCTTTGAAAAGAGCCGCTGTGGTAAATGTCATAGGGGAGATATCAAAGCAATTGCATAACGTTTCGTTGAATATGCGGGATAATGGCCTAAGGCCTTGATCTGTGGTTTTCAAACAGCGTGTTTCAAGCTTACGTAGCATTTCAAAGGACTAATCTTTATTGACATTGGGTTTTGAACCAAAATAGCCATCCTGAAGACCTTTCGGTGCCGTTTACAACCCAACCCTTCTTAAGATCTTAGCCTCCCCTAGTTTTTGAGCTATACGTCTGCGAGAATGGGAAAAGGTATACCGGAAGGAGTATTCCAAAGTCGTCTTGGCATTCGTCCGCCACAACAACGCCATTTAAATCCTGTCATTCCATAAGCCATGCAGCAATCAAGGCCGAGAAAAATGTAATTGTCGCGGAGTTCATATCTGGCAATCGTAAGCGTAATTTCCAGACATGACGGCCATCAACTGTCTCTCAATGAATGTCGTGCATAGTGCGATGACGTAATCAATCCATGGCGCATTGAGGAGCTTATTAAACAGAGAATCGTGTTGTCAAGAGCGGTCTTTTCCACTTGAAAAATACATCAATAGTTGTAAGTAAGCTTGATTCATCACACTTGATGCCCGCTTCAGTATCTTCAAATTTAAAACATTCCCTGTAATTTGACACCTTAATATGTTGTAAACATTACAGAACACACACGTTGCAAAAAGCAAGGCAAATGAAACGCATTACTTTCGTAGCGGTGAGCAGGGAGTCCAATGAGATTTCTTCCGCAAGAGCGGCCATTTCAAATACAAATTCTGAGCTATTCAGAAGGATTCTTAGAAAACTGGTCTCACCGATCAAATCGGACGAGTCTGGTCCAACAATAAGTGGCATAACCAAAAATGGTGTCATACTCCCTTTAAATACTGTCAACTGGCAACACGTGTCGGTGTTCCATTCAGCCACTGAGCGAAAGAAGGCTGGATAATTCGCATTGGGATTCACAAATATTGCGGCAAGAAAGCAGAAGGCTGCCCGCATGCTCACTTAGCGTGCCTCCTTTTGTGCTCAGGCTCATGCGTCTTGCGTTCCCATTCCACTCCAGCTCCGTTTTTTCAATCATGCGCATTTGCTACCGTTCCTTCATAACTCTTCGGCATCGCGGGTGTGCCAGGACCGTCGCCTTGGTTGGAGCCGTTGACCGTGGCCAGCGTCAGTGACTTCCTGTTCGCCAGCGCCAGCACCGACCACTTTTCCGGGATATGCCTCCTTCAGGAAGACGCCAACAACGACAGCTGGCACCGCGGTGGCCTACTCCAACAGCGTGCCCATATGTGCGCTCGCGTCAGCTTATGTCCGTTTGACTGCCGCCGTCCATTCATGCCGGCACATTTGGTGTCTTGGTGTGTCGTACTTGGATCCCTCGATCAGCGGGCAGCCGATTAGCAGCCACTGACTGACAAGCAAACTTCAACTGCAATCAGCGACAGCATCCGCCATACTCTTGTATTACAAAGTTATTCTGTACTGCACGAGTTTTGAAACCTTTCGGCTTATCAACCTGCGATTCGAGCAGTCATTGGGAACAGTGCCGCTGTACCTGGGGCTCCAGCGCGAATTATGAACAAGTGGGTTCGTCACTACTATAGGGTATACATTCGTCTCTTCAGTGAAAAACACACGGTGCTACGCTTCCCACATGTGTTTGCACAAACGGTCACACTCGGCGCTAAACCAGTTACTAAGACTTTCCGGCTGACCCGTGTTTATAAACGACAGCTCAGAGGAATGCTGATGAGCTAATGCATGAGTTGCATAGATAAGTGACATCACCCGCATGATGTACATGTCCTTTTCTCAGGACACCGTAAGCGGACGCATTTTTCCTAAGGCATGTCCTTGCGAGTGTGTTCAACTTTGTATTATTACGGACCGAGAGTTGTAGATGCATGAGCCGGGTAATAGCCAGGGATTCGACTGCACAAGGCTCTATAATTCATTTGAGGCCAAAATGGAATATCATAACGCCATGATCTAATTGTATAAGATTTTGTGCAAGCAATCAAGATCAAAACTTACTAAACGCAATAAGTGAAATTTTCAACAGCATTCGCTAATTTATGTCAATAGTATTCCCAACTTGTGGATTTCCAAACTTTCCAAATTTGTGGACCAATAATTTTGGATGCATGCACCGGATTATAGCCAGGGATTGGACTAGACCGATATCAAAAATACCGTCCAGCATCCAAAAGCACCAAGAGTGAAATTTTTGTTGCATGCGCACTCGTTTGTGACACGCGATTTGTGTCCTATTCTTGCAGTTGCATTTCTCCTGCCTGTGCAACTGTATTCTATCAACACCAAAGGACGAACAAGATCGTCTGAAAGATATGTTCCGTTTTGGAACAGATCGATCTTACTTCAGTGATATGCGAAAACATCACAAGCCACGTATTAACTTGAAGATAAACACAGGGTAATGACAATGCATTAACATAAACAGGTAAAGCAATTTGGCCAAGAATTGCAGATGCAGAGGTCAGGACAGGGCGAGGAAAAGGGAAGGTGGATGATGCAACTCTTAATGGATGCGACATAGGATGACATTTTGACTCTCCAGCTCTGTCTACTGTTGTTTAAAAGGTGTCCGCGATCAATTTGATCGATCAGTTTAGAGCTATGGTCTGTTAACGGTCAGGGTACCCTATTTTAAAAGCTTAGCTTTCAGGCCTTGGCTTCATCGGGTATAATCATGTAGGTAACGACATTGCTGTTGAGCCGGATTGTAAATCCTGCAGACAGGGCATTTTTGGTGTGATAGGGATGGTGTGATGACAAATGGAGGTAGCATTGGCTGTGGTACAGAAAAAATCGTTTGGATATGATCAGGGAGGCTTAAACGTCCTGACTTGGTGGGCTATTTTGGGGACAAACATGTACAGGTTCTAGTTTTGCGCAACGCTTTGTGCCATAAATGCCTTTGATTGATCGTTTTAGTGACGGCAAAGAAACAGTAGCTTAGAACACGCTGCACTTCCTTACATGAGGCTTCCATGGTCATGCACTTCGTCACACACCACTAGGAGGCCTTTTTGTAATGACTTAAAGGGGAGTATGAGGCGTTCTTGTTTGCTTCCTTGGAAGTATCTCATGGTCGAGAATCTGTTAAGTAGTTCTTTTGTGGGTTTTAAAGGGAGTGTGTCTAGTCAAGTTAGGATTTTTGATTGTGCACGTAGGATGGGAGGGAGTTCCGATTACAAATTTCGGCGCCATTGGTTTGAGAAATTCGCGTCCACTGACAGATATATAAAAGAATGAAGTTATCGGGCACCCCCCAAACCATATTCAATACCAAACACATCGACATCATTGAGAAGGTATCGTTAGCTCCAGCTAATGGCTCTTCGAGGATGTCATTTGTCAGCGCTGACAGCAGCTGGCGAACGCAGCGATGGCGGCAGCCATTATGTCGATGTTTTTTGTTTTTTGTTTTGCTTTCAGCTGAGGGCTGCGGGTGTACGGTTTTAGACGCATGGTAAGGCTGGTCAGTTGATACGCACCAGTTCATGTCGGCCTATTATACACTGAGAAGGGAAACAAATATTGTGTCATGTCATTCGACTGCACCAGGCTCTATGAAAATGTGATTGTTCCACGTTACCGCTACGTGTTGGTTGTACGTTCTACGTCATTACAGGTTTCGCTAATGGAAACCAACATTCAGGTACTACCATCTAGAGGCAAATACAATTTCAGAGACATACGTCAATGCGACTTCCTA